GTGCCCACGCAGGCTTCCTGGGGGAGGTGGGATAAGAAAGAACCCACCAGTTACAGAGCCTGGGCACTGTGTCCATGTGGGGGGAGCCGTGGAAGCAAAGGTTGAGGGTTGTGTCTCTGGGGGTCTGTGCAGGGCCTGGGGGAGGGGCCGTGGGATGGGGGTGAGGGGTGGGGGAGGGACCTGGAGCTTGACTGTGAGACCCTCACATGTTCTGTGGAGGGTTGTGGGGCCTGATCCTTGGATGTGGGGCTGCCGGGGGTTCCCGAGTGGGAGGATGGGCCCGTGTCGTTAGCACAGTGACCCCAGCTGTGTCCGACAAGACCTGGCGTGGCCTGGGGGATCTGGAGGTGGGCTGAGCATCTGCCTCTGGCTTCCTTGTGACAGTGTGGGGCTCGGTGACGGGCACCATGGCCTAGCCACTGGGACACCATCCACCGCTCCTGTCCTGGGCTGGGGACTCGAGACCTGGGCCCTTGGGGGGGCCTTCTCCTGAGTGATAAGTGTCTTTCATTGGCTCATGAGATGGCGGGGGCTGCTAGACAGCCACAAAGTGGGGGCTGGTTACCAGAAAGACGGGGGCGCGACGGGAGCGTGGCGCGCTCAGCCCAGGGAGGGAGAGGAGCTGTCTCTGGAGCAGATCACCAATGGCCAATGACTTAATGAATTTTGCCTGATGCAGGTTCCAGGAAAGCCCTAGACCACAGGGCCGGGCAGGCTGGGTTGCTGACTGCAGGTCAGTGCTGTGGGTGGGTGCTGTGCCCAGGGCCCTGGGGGCTCCCTACCTGAAGGCAGTGCCGTGGGTGGGCGGGTGCCCAGGGGCCTGGAGGCTCCACACCGGCCCCCTTACCTTGACCTAGGCACCTCTCCCTCTGGCTAGTCCTGAGTTGTGTCCTTTATAATAACCCGTAATCAAGTGGGAAAGTCACTTCTGCAGTTCAGGGAGCTGTTCCAGCAAATTATCGAGTTGAGCAGGGAGCTGGAAGAACCCCTAATTCCTGGCCGGTCACACAGAAGTATGGAAGGCCAGGACTTGTGGTTGGCATCTCGGGGGGGCGGCTCTGTGGGACTGAGCCCCTGAGCTGTGGGTCTGTGCCCACACGGGATCAGTAAGGTCTGAACTGGGTTGAACTGCAGGACAGCCAGCTGGTGTCCAGAGAGCTGGAGAATTGGTTGGTGTCAGGAAAAACCCCACGTTTGGTGTCACAAGTGCTGTGAGTATTAGCAGTTCGGACAGATAAAGCCTTGCTGGGAGGGACGGGCGTGCATCAGGGAGGAGAAGCGGGAGCCTGAGACGCTGCGGTTATGGCGGAAGGCGGCGTGACGGGTCCTCACTTCCAAAACTAAACCTGGACTGCCCGCACGATCCAGCCATCCACGTCTGGGCTTCTGCCCGGAAGAACTTAAAGTGGAGACTCGAAGAAATATTTGTACCCCAAAGTCCGCAGCAGCATTTTCACGACAGCCGGCAGGCGGAAGCCGCCCAGACGCCCATTCACAGATGACGGGATAAGCAGTGTGGCCCTCCCTAAGCAGAGCATCACTCAGCCTTACAAAGGGAGGAGACGCTGGTGCCTGCGACAGCAGCTCGAGGGTGTTTTCCTCAGTGAAATAAACCAGCCACGTGGGGCAAATGCCGTCTCGTCCACCTGGACGAGGCTGCCGCCGTCGCCCAGTTCACAGACGCGGACAGTAGGATGCTGGGGGCAGGGGGAGTGGGTGTGACGGTGGACGGGGGCAGAGTCTCAGTTTGGGAAGATGGCATTTCTGGGGCGCAGCTCGGTGGCTCACCCCTGTAACTCCAGCACTTTGTGACGTCAAGGCGGGCGCACTGCTTGAGGTCAGGAGTTTGAGACCCTCCTGGCCACCATGGTGAAACCCCATCTCCACTGAAAATACAAAAAAATAGCTGGTCATGGTGGCGTGTGCCCGTTGTCCCAGCGACGGGGGAGGTCAAGGCGCGAGAACTGCTCAAAGACAGGAGGCGGAGGCAGCAGTGGGCCGCGATCACAGCTTTGCACTGCAGCCTGGGCGACAGCAGGAGACGCTCCGTCTCAAAAAAAAAGAAAAAAAGTCTTGGGCGTGGATGGTGGTGACGGTCACACAGCATTGTGAATGTGCTTAGCTCTGCACAGCTGTCCCTAAAATGGTTAAAATGCTCAGCTTTACGTTATATGTATTTTTCCACAATTCAAAAAAAATTATTTTTATTATTATTTTTAAGTAATTAATTTATTTTTGAGACAAGGTCTCGCCCTGTTGCCCAGGCTGGGGTGCAGTGGTGCGATCTTGGCTCACTGCAACCTCCGCTTCCTGGGTTCAAGCGATTCTCTTGCCTCAGCCTCCCAAGTAGCTGGGATTATAGGCACCCACCACCATGCCCTGCTAATTTTTGTATTTTCAGTAGAGACAAGGTTTCACCATGTTGACCAAGCTGGTCTCAAACTCCTGACCTCAGGCAATCCGCCCACCTCAGCCTCCAGAAGTGCTGGGATTACAGGTGTGAGCCACTGCACCCAGCCAGAAAAAAGAAATTTTTTAAAAGGCTGAATAATCAATGAACCAAGCACAAATTTCTGGAAGTTACATGAAGAATAAACCCAGAGAAATGGAAAGCAAAGGCAGAATGAATGCATGGGGTAATGAAACACAAGGTAAACTTCTGTGAGGAGGACCAGTACGTGGCTAGTATCAGAAGCGAGAAGGGGGAGTGCTACGTCATGGCAGCCACGTCACGGCAGCCACGTCACGGCAGCCACGTCACGGCAGCCACATCACGGCAGCCACATCACGGCAGCCACGTCCTCCCCACTGTGCCCAGGACTTGGGTTCCGGCCTCAAGGCTGTCTAGAGTCCTGGGAAACCCCTGCCTCAAGCGCCCCAGCAAACAGGGACAGCTGGTTACTCCACAGCAGGTCTTGCAGGCATCTGACAGGCAGAAAGAAGATATTGTGAGCATAATAAATTCGAAAATTTAGATGTAATGGACAAATTCCTAGAAAAATAGCGTTAAGCAGAGCTAAGGCAAAAGAACCGGGGTCGGAGGAGGCCCCAGCTCTGAGGTGACTGGGCCTTCCTGCGCTGGGCTCCTCGTCCGGGGTCTGTGCGCCCGCCTTTCTCCATCAGCTGCGGGCTGGGTGCTGGAGATTCCGAGGACAGTCACACCCCACCCTCGAGGCAGCCACACATATTCCCCCCACTTCATGTGTAATTTCAGGGATCTTTGCACTCCCCAGGTCTGACTTGCTCACCCCAGAGCGAGGGTTGATAGTCTCCAGGCCTGCTCCCTTGCATCCAATTCCAGCTCTGGGGTGGGGACATTCTGGGGCAAGGGTATTCTGGCGTGGGGACATTCTGGGGCGAGGGGCATTCTGGTGTGGGGGTATTCTGGTGTGGGGGACATTCTGGGGCGGGGGGTATTCTGGGGTGCTATGCAGAGGTTGCTGGGGGGCTTCCAGAGGAGGGGAGAGCAGCTGTGGCTGGAGGGGGAGGGATGTCAGAGAGGGTCCTCGGACCCTGGGAGCATGCTCACCCTCCATCCAGAGCCACCACCCCTGGTTACGGGGGAGGCTCCTGCATCCTGCAGCCATAGCCATCCCCAGGCCCTGCCATCTCCCAGGCCGTAGCTGGAGGGTGGAGGGTCCCCATGGTTCTGCCGCCATCTGGACAGCTGATCTGGGCATCTGGCGCCTTCCTGCTGCCTGTTCACTCTGGGGTGTTGGCATCAAGATCTCAATCACCACAGCGAAAATAACAGGTGTCAGCCAGGCGGGCAGAGCTGACCTCACTGGGGCCTTTGTGGCTTCCGGATGAGATTCCCCGGGGACAGTGGGAGTTTGGGGGCAGGCAAAGCATCCTTCAGCTGAATTAGCAAGCACTGATACCATGCCACTGCCTGCGTTTCCTCCTCAAACCAGCCGCTAGCTGCAGAGCTCCGACAACCCTCAGCCTCGGCTCTCCTGACATCTGGGGGTGGGACTCCTCACAGGGCCTCAGGGTCCAGTAACCTGCCGTGTGCCGGCCTCCTCTCTCCAGCCTCCATTCGCCAGTCCTGCTCTCAGAGTTGGAGGAGCTGACACCCAGGCGGGGCTGGGTGGGAGAGGTGGGGTCGCCCCACGGCCCCTCGCCTGTGGCATCGCCTGATTCAGACATCCTGCCCTCTCAACCTCCCGCCGCCTGTGTGTGCACACCTGCCTCTACCCTGCTGCTCGGTCACCCGCGGCGCCGTGACCGTCCCTGTCTCTCTCTTTTCAGCTGACCTGCATTGTTTGGGTAGGGCCATGTCAGCCTGCGTGGCAGTTTTGAGATGCTGAGAGCTGGGTTAACAAGCCACATCGATTAAGCCAGCTCGTCAGGGTTTCCCTGGGATCAGCTGGAGGTAGGGCTGCCTGGCTGCGGCGGCCAGAAGCAGGTGACCGCGGTGCAGGAGGACGGATGTGTGAGGTCTGTGGGTTGGGGCCACAGGCTGGGCTCTAGGTGGGCTCTGGGAAGGAGGGAGGTGACGGGACAGGAACACGGACAGCTCCCAGCCACTGTTGTCACGCACTGGGTGCTATGAAGACAGAACCAGAACATCTGGAACCACAGAATAGCCGCCTCGCCTAAGCCGCGACGGGAGCCCCGCCCACGGAGGCCTCGCTGACCCCCACGCTTTGCTGTGGGAGGGCAGTGAACGAGGTCTGGAGTGTCAGTGCCGGAGGCTGTTTGCCCCCCACCCCAGTGTGCAGCCTGCAAACCTGTGGCTGCCGGGGACACTGACTTCCCGAACGCCCACAGCCAGCGGCGACCTGAGCTCTCTCCCCAGGCTCTGGAGGCTGCGTGTGTGTGTGCGCGGGTGTGCCTGCTTTGCACTGTGAGGGCCTGCACACTCCAGGTGAACACGTGAGCAGGTGGAACGTGCCCGGGAGCCAGCACGCTGCCGCCTGGCCACCCCCTCTCTGTGCCGCATCCCTTCCTGGTGGCGGGCTCTCAGGAGGGTGCAGGGAAGCGGCCGCCCCACTGACCTGGATCACGGCGTCCAGCCCCAGTGGGGGCTGTTGGGAGGCGTCCCCGCTGCCATGCTCACTGGAGGCGGAGCTCATTGCAGCCCAGAGCACCGGGCCCCAGAGGAGGCCTGGCCCTGCTCTCCGTACGTCTCCTCCGACTGGCCAGGACCTCCTAGTTGCCCAGGCCCCACGCCTGTGTGGCCCCTGGCTCTGCAGTCCTGTGTCCCGAGCCTGGGCACCCAGCTGCCCTCGCCCTGTGGGTGAGATAGTGCGGCCAGCTGAGCCCATAGGCATTGCTGTGGCAACCGGGACGCCGAGAGCTGGGTTTCCCTGGAAACAGGAGTGTGGAACGCTGTTGGGTGGAAGCGGTTTTCCCTGGAGACCTGGAGACGCCCGGGTGAAACTGCCTACCTGAGCAACGGCACCTGGGAGGGGCTGGCCTCTCCACAGACACCCCTCCCGCGTGTGCTCCAGGAGGAGCTCTGCGCTTGCTGGGCTCACAGCAGGCAGGGGCAGCTGGTGGCCGCTGTCTCCCTTGATCTGCACTCAGGAACTATGACTTTTTAAAAACATTTATCAAAGAATGGAGGGATCGTCACCGGTGGTGGACTGAGGTCTGAGGAGGGACGCTGCCTGCCATGTCATCCTCATGGCCTTGTGCCTGGAGCCCGCCTGGAGTCCGACGTCCTGCTAGAGCCTTTCAGAGGCACCTGCACAGACACGCTGGCCACCGGGCACCCCCGCAGCCGGGCACCCCTGCAGCCGGGCACCCACGCAGCCGGGTACCCACACAGCTGGGCACAGCCATCTTTTCCTGACTAGCACCCGCAGGGGATGTGCTTTGGACAGAACCGAAAGAGACTGAGACTCAGGGCGGCCCCAAGGAGCCACTCCTCCCAAGCAGTCACTGGCTGTCCTTGTGGACAGTGTGCTCTGCCAGGTGTGGACTTGGCTCTGAGGAGGAGGCACGGGTCCCGGGGGCACAGAGTCACCAAATGAGCCAAGACAGTGATGGCAGGTGGGAGAGATCCCAGGGTGATTATGGCAGACGGGCAGCCCTGGAGGCCTGGAGGCTGGGGCAGAGGGAGCCACGTCTGTCCGCCCTACCCTCTCCTGCAGAGTCGCCCTACCAGTGAACTGTCTTCAGAGGGCATGGAAGTGCCACCCTGTCTGGCACACAGCAGCTGCATGGCACCGTCCCACTCCCATCTGTCGGGCACGGGCAGGAGGCCAGCTGAGGGCAGGGTTGGAGACTGGCGGGGCAGGTGGCCGATGCTGGAGGACGGTGCATGTGGTGTGATTTTCAAGGTCTCTCCCACTCGCCTGAGAGGAGAGGCCAGCTGAGCACACGTACCGGGTTTTAGGGGGGATCCAGATGCTTGGGGGGGGGCGGGTAGGTCCTGAGAGGTTCTGTGTGGTGGGAGAGGGGACCCTGTTCCCCTCCCACCCCACGTTTATCCATGGGGGTGGCTGCCTGTGGATGCTGCCATGAGCAGGCCCTGGGGGACCTGGGTCCTGGGAGGGGCTGCAGGGCTGGCTTGGGATCCCGTCCTCTGGTGCTTTCGGCACAGTGAAGAAAGAAGTCAGGGGAAAGGCCCCTGCCTGGGGACCGGAGGGGGCCCGGGGCTACCGCCCTGCCCAGGCATGCAAATGTAAGAGCCCAGGCCATAACACGCGTAGGAGAAAACACAGGGAAAAGCTTTGTGGCGCGGGATTTGGCAGCGACTTCTTGGATGTGGCATCAAATCCGCAGACAGTGAAGGAAACAGATAAATTGAACTGATTCAGAACTTAAAACTTGTGTATCAAAGGATGCTATGAAGAAAGTGAAAACCCAGGAACGGGAAAATATTCATCAACCTTCTATGTGACACCGGTTAGCACTCAGAATGTGTAAAGAATCCTGGCCACGTGCAGTGGCTCACACCTGTAACCCCAGCAGTTTGCGAGGCTGAGGCAGGTGGGTCACCTGAGGCCAGGAGTGTGAGAGCAGCCTGGTCAACATGGCAAAACCCTGTGCCTACTAAAAAAATTCAAAAAAATTAGGCGTGGCGGCATGTGCCTGTAATTCCAGCTACTCAGGAGGCTGGGGCAGAATTGCTTGAACCCAGGAGGCAGAGGTTACAGTGAGCCGAGATGGTGGCACTGCACTCCAGCCTGAATGAAAGTGAGACTCTATCCAACAACAAAAAAGAAAGAATTCCTATAACCCAACAACAAGAAAACAAACAGCACAATTAAAAATGAGCAAAAGGCTGGGCCCAGTGGCTCACGCCTGTGATCCCAGCACTTTGGGAGGCTGAGGCGGGCAGATCACAAGGTCAAGAGATCAAGACCAGCCTGGCCAACTTGGTGAAACCCCGTCTCCACTAAAAATACAAAGATTAGCTGAGCGTGGTGGCGGGCACCTGTAGTCCCACCTGCTCACAGGCTGAGGCAGGAGAATCACTTGCACCCAGGAGGCAGAGGTTGCAGTGAGCAGAGATTGTGCCACTGCACTCCAGCCTGGCAACAGAGCGGGACTCTGTCTCGAAAAACAAAACAAAAACAAAAGAGCCCACAAAAGAGCAAAAGACTTGAACAGACATTTCTCCAAAGAAGAGACACACACAGCCAAAAGGTAGGTGAAAAGACAGAGTCACCTCATCAGAGAAACACAAATCAAAGCCACAGCGAGTCACCACCCCACAAGCCCCGGGATGGCTCTTGGGAAGAAAGCAGAGGGGGTGCTGGGAGGACGTGGGGAGGCCAGGCTCTTGTGCTCGGCAGTGGGAATGGTATGGCAGACGCTCAGAAAGTTGGAGTTCCCATGTGATCCAGGAACCCACATCTGCGCATATACCCGAAGAATGGAGAGCAGAGGCTCGAAGAGACGCTCCGACCCCGTGTTCACAGCAGCATTTGTGCCACCGCCGATGGCGGATGGAGCCCTGGTGTCTGCCGACAGGTGACTTGCAGGGGGTAGATCCCATAAGCACCGAGGCAGGAGCAAAAGTCCTCAGCCTATTTCCACATAAATAATGAAGAAAGTAACCAGAAATAAAACCTTACTAGTTATTAGCTATTCGTATGTGACCTTAGTTATTCATAGGTGATCTTAATTCTTTTACTAATGCCTCTCAGCCGTAAGTGTGAACCTGGGGTGACATTGTGAAATGAATGACCCCGAGGCAAGATGCTCTGAGCCTTCTGTCACCCCCACATAAGGGCTGCTGCGGGGCGCCTCGGCTGTGGAAAGCACCTGCTGTTTAGCCAGCTAGGGGAGCAGACATCCAAGATGACCGAGACATCTCCTTCCTGGGGAAGTTAGGAGAAAACTCCGCTCCTCCAAGATCTTGTGGTCGGCCTGACGGCTGTCAGGAGGCCACAGACATCCGGGGCTTAACTGTCCCTATGTGGGGCTGTGCCTCAGTGGTCACGTTCCACGTCCACTCTCATGTTCTGCTTCTGCACCTGGTTCCTTTTTTCTTAGAAGAGAAAATCAGTTATAGAAATATAAATCTCAATGTTTTAGTTCTTTCTCGGTAAGATGGAAAAGGTGCTGATGCATTATGCTCCTTGCCTCACTTCAGATGCCAGAAGTTCCTGAGCCCCCGCCTGAACGACACGTGATGTACTTGACCCTACCACTGCCACGCCCCATCCACCTGCCCCCAGTCTCCGACCACCGAGGCCACGCCCTGCCTACCCTCCCCCCGGATTTGCAGCTCAATAAAAGTGAGAGTGTCCCGGCACTCGGGGCCACTGCTGGTCTCGGAGATCTGGGCAGCAGTGGACCCCGGGGCCCAAACTCTCTTTTCTCTATTTCTGTGTCTTGTGTCTTTTATTTCTACAATTTCTTGTGCTCCCAGCCGGGAGCGGCTCCCAGAACCGTGTAGGGCTGGACCCTACAGTGACGGATACACAAAATGAGATCCATCCCCCCTGTGGGACGTTACTCAGCCTTTGAAGGGAAGGAAACTCTCACATGTGCCACAGTCTGGAAGATCCCTGAGGACACAACGCCGAAGAAGCAAGCAAGTGCAAGAACCAGCGCTTGCCTGAGGTCCAGGAGCACGGAGCCCTAGAATCAGGAGGTGGAGCGCCGGGGCTGGGGGAGGGGCGGGAGTCGGTGCTGAACCGGCAGAGCCTCGGTTTGGAAAATGAGAGCAGTGTGGAGGCCAACTGCCAGCGACGATGGCGTGAACGTTCTTGGGTACGATGGTAAAAGGTATGTTTATTTACCAAAATGTAAAAAACTAAACTCCAACAAACAAGCAAAGCAAAGCAAAAACCCACTGTGGCCAGCACCTGGGGAGACCTAGAGTCCCCGCCCAGCTGCCACTTCCAGGGGAGCTGGGGCCTGTGGCCTGGCCTGAGCCGGTGACTGGAGCCCCGCGTGCCCAGGTGAGCGGTCTCCACGCCCTGCCCCTCTCTCACACTGCCCTCCACCCGCCCCAGGGCCCCTGCCGCCCACCGATCCTGGCTGGGCCTCCCTCCAGCCTCCTTCCTGCCCCAGAAGGATGAGTTCACGCCAAGGTCCGCTCCCTACTGGCTTTTCCGGGCAGGGATTGGCCCGCCCTCAGCCCCAGCACGCTCAGCTCCTCAGGGTGGTCGCAAGTAGCCTGAGCCCATGACCCGCAGACGCGTCGCCCACCCCCGCCCACTCACCACTTGTCCGACTGCTCCCAGCTGAGCACGGCCCAGCCCTCTATGCCCATCTGGGGCTGAACTGCCCACCACCTCCTTCCTGCCCCGGGCCCTGGTCCCCTGTGTAGGAGCCACAGAGCAGGGGTCCCTGCCCGCCGCTGCACTCCCACCGCACAGCGTCCACACCCTCCCTCTGCCCGGAGCGGGGAGGACAGCCCGTGGGACCCCCAGGGGCTGCCTGCAGAGGCCCCTCCACTGAGCGGTGGGAAGCACAGCCCGTGGGCTGAGGGTGGGGGGTGGGCAGAGCCATAACTCCCGAGAGCTGCCGAACGCTCCTGGCCTGTGACCTGGTGGAGTGGCCTTCAGGAAAGTGTCAGGGAGCGAGAAGACTTCACACCTCAGGGGCACGGTGCGGTGGGTGCCGTGGGCTGAGGAGCAGTCCAAAGTCAGGTAAAGGGATGACGACTGACTAAGTCAAGGCTGGGCCTGAGCGGCAGCTGCTCAGATGCACCAGGGGCTGCAGGGGCAGGATGAGAGTGAGGGGCGGCTGAGTGAGAAATGCAGCATTTGGGGGGCAGGCGGCCTCTTCCTGTGGTCTCCACCGGGAAAACGCCCTCCTGAGTGAAGCCAGGCAGGGGTGCCGGCCACGCTCATGTCGGGTGGGGATGGGGGTCTCCTCCTCCCAGGACCTG